GAAACAAACTACTAAATAAAGCAAATAATTAAGAAACAAACTACTAAATAAAGCAAATAATTAAGAAACAAACTACTAAATAAAGCAAATAATTATGAAACAAACTACTAAATAAAGCAAATAATTAAGAAACAAACTACTAAATAAAGCAAATAATTAAGAAACAAACTACTAAATAAAGCAAATAATTAAGAAACAAACTACTAAATAAAGCAAATAAGTATGAAACAAACTACTAAATAAAGCAAATAATTATGAAACAAACTACTAAATAAAGCAAATAGTTAAGAAACAAACTACTAAATACAGCAAATAGTTAAGAAACAAACTACTAAATACAGCAAATAATTATGAAACAAACTACTAAATAAAGCAAATAATTATGAAACAAACTACTAAATAAAGCAAAGAGTTAAGAAACAAACTACTAAATACAGCAAATAGTTAAGAAACAAACTACTAAATACAGCAAATAATTATGAAACAAACTACTAAATAAAGCAAATAATTATGAAACAAACTACTAAATAAAGCAAATAGTTAAGAAACAAACTACTAAATACAGCAAATAGTTAAGAAACAAACTACTAAATACAGCAAATAATTATGAAACAAACTACTAAATAAAGCAAATAATTATGAAACAAACTACTAAATAAAGCAAAGAGTTAAGAAACAAACTACTAAATACAGCAAATAGTTAAGAAACAAACTACTAAATACAGCAAATAATTATGAAACAAACTACTAAATAAAGCAAATAATTATGAAACAAACTACTAAATAAAGCAAATAATTATGAAACAAACTACTAAATAAAGCAAATAATTATGAAACAAACTACTAAATAAAGCAAAGAGTTAAGAAACAAACTACTAAATACAGCAAAAGAGTTACAAGAAAGAAGAGAGCAAAACAGCAAATAGTTAAGAAACAAACTACTAAATAAAGCAAATAATTATGAAACAAACTACTAAATAAAGCAAGAGTTAGAAACAAACTACTAAATACAGCAAATAGTTAAGAAACAAACTACTAAATAAAGCAAATAATTATGAAACAAACTACACCAAAAAGCAAAGAGTTAAACAAAGGTAGGAATACAGCAAATAGTTAAGAAACAAACTACTAAATAAAGCAAATAATTATGAAACAAACTACTAAATAAAGCAAAGAGTTAAGAAACAAACTACTAAATACAGCAAATAGTTAAGAAACAAACTACTAAATAAAGCAAATAATTATGAAACAAACTACTAAATAAAGCAAAGAGTTAAGAAACAAACTACTAAATACAGCAAATAGTTAAGAAACAAACTACTAAATAAAGCAAATAATTATGAAACAAACTACTAAATAAAGCAAATAGTTAAGAAACAAACTACTAAATACAGCAAATAGTTAAGAAACAAACTACTAAATAAAGCAAATAATTATGAAACAAACTACTAAATAAAGCAAAGAGTTAAGAAACAAACTACTAAATACAGCAAATAGTTAAGAAACAAACTACTAAATAAAGCAAATAATTATGAAACAAACTACTAAATAAAGCAAATAATTATTGCCTCCCAATGCGTGGGACAACAAATACTTGTTGGCCGAAGGAGGTTTTGGTCCCAACAGGTAGCTGCATGTATGAGCCTGCCAGTTAGGGACCGCCAATGGCTATGACGGGCTATCCCTATGCCCAGTGGCCATGGGGAAAAAAAAAGAATCGGCAGCCTTTTTCGTTGGTTGAGTTTAAAGGCAAAAAGGAACCCTTACCCAAAACAAGTTGAAAACAGGGCGGAATCCACTGGGCAACAGAGCAATGATAAGCCACGAAGAAGGTTTGGAAGCTGATCGCTATAGCCGTTTGCCCGTGATGTTCCGTTTTCCTCTCCCCGAAGGATCTGGAAATCTAGGGGTTGATTCCTTTTCCATTCTTGTCAGCCATCGTTCTTTTCAGCCATCGTGTTTTTGTGTGTTTAATCAGCAATTTCCCCAGGGATGTTGGTGGCTTTCTAGAAAGCAGGAACCCTGGAAAGAATGGGGAAGTTACCCCTAAAGGAAATCAAAGGTTCAACTTTTGGAACCTGTACAAAAACTGGACCAAAAGGAAAAACCAAAAGATGAGAAGGTCAGCTTTGAAAAATATCCATTTACATGTTCGCCCCCTGGAGAAAAAAATGAGAACATATTCCCAGTGAAATTGATTCCATTTACAACCAGGGGAACACCTGACATGTTATTTTTCAGCAAATGGAAGACGAGTGAGAGTGGGTTTCTTGGTTGACGTTGGAAGGGGAGCAACCAGTTTATTTTTTTAGCAGTTCAGTGGTGGGATTTCCCGCACTAAACCACAATTAAAAATAATAATGTAAAAGCGTACCCTCTCTCCCACGAACATGGCACCTGTTGGAGGGTACCTCGAAGATCAATTTGCTCCTGAAGGGACCCTCTGTGAGGTGCCATGTTAGTTGGAGGGAGGGTAACATATTCCTCTCGGCAAATGGAAGACAACTGAGACTGGGTTTCCTCCCCTTGCAACACGAAAGGGGCATCTGCTTGGTTTCCCGAACGAGCCAGGTTGCAAATGGCACCCTTTCCAGCTCCAGCGGAGTCATCGGCGCTGCGGAAATCCTCGGCCAAACGAAGGACGTTTTTGGGCTAGGTCCAGTAGAGAGGACAGAATAAGGGTACCAACTTTTCTCTGTCGTCTATTTTAGTAAGGGGTTTTCCTCTCCCAAAAAAAGGGTGAGAAATGGCACTACTGGGGGACCTAGTTAGGGTACCCCAGGGCTGGTTTTCAAACAACTTTTGCACCCAAGGCTCTCTGGGTAGGGCGTTGTGGATGTTTAAAATTGAAGCAACTTTTGCACCCTTTTCGAACCCAAAAGGGTTGTCAAAAGGGTTGTCTCTTTGACAAGCAACCACTCATGTTTAAAGCTAGGTCCTTCAGTAGGGAGGTTAGAATAAGGGTACCGATTTTGTTTCAGGACGTCTATTTTAGTAGGGAAAGGGCACTTTCTCTGTAGTCTATTTTAGTAGGGAACCCTCCCAAACAAAAAAACAACGGTGAAAGGGCACTACTGGGTGACCTGGTTAGGGTACCCGGGGCTGGTTGTTTCAACAATTTGTGCACCCTAGGCTTCTTAAAGGGTAGGGCGTTGTGGATGTTTAAACCACTCCCTTTTAATTCCAGGGACCATGCCACAGCCTTAGACATCTTCGCCACGTTGAGGTTTGCCCGGCCGCTCCCGCACCCCAAAAAGGTGGTTCTGGCGGCCAACATAAACCCCAAACCGGGTCATCAAACCCTAAACAGTGTTGGTTGGCCCAACATGAGCCCTGAAAGGTGTCTGGAGGCCAACAGAAACACTAAACCTGTTTGGTAAGTTTAGCCTAAACCCTGAAAGATGGTTGGACGCCACCCTAAACCCTAAACAGTGATTGATGGGGCCAGCAGAATCCCAGTGTTGGTGGGCCCAGCATGGGCCCTAAAAGGTGTCTAAAATCCTAGAACAGCGTTGGAGGGGCCAGCGCCAACATCTTTTGCCGCAGCAAAGACGCTTGATGTCAGGTTGCTCTTACTTAGTGGTTTGGATCTGTTTGACCTGCTTCTCATAGAGCACCCTTCCCCCCCCACCCCGCTTCCTGGAACACAGCCAGCCAGCCAAACTCCACTGGGCCCAAATTACCCGGACCCCACAACTTGTTGGCCTCTGAGACATCACCTGTGTTGCCCCTCAGGGTCTGGAGTAGCCCATCTGTCTCGAGGGCTTCGAATCCTGCACACCCCAGGCAGCTGAACCAAGTTCTAGTTGCTGCTGCGATATGTGGGAATGGATGCTCTGGTCCGCTTCAAGGACACCACAGTTGGGATGGTTTTGCTTGGGGTCGATTCCGCCTATCGCACCAGCAAGTTCTAATCTTCCGGTTGCTTAAGTCCACTGAAACACAAATATACATATGTCCAGTAGTGCTCGATTCCCTTAAAAACCAACAGGGGAAAAATAAAAAATAAAAAAAAAAATCAAGAAGCGATTTCAGCAAATCCCTCTATAACTAACAGGAGGAAAAATCAGCAAATGATTCCCTTTAACACCCTTTAAAGCCAACAGGGGAAACAACTAAACATAATTTCAGCAAATCCCTTTCAAACCAACAGGGGGAAAAACAAAACATATTCCTTTCAGCAAATGGAACTGGGCTGCCCTCAGACCCCCCGCCAAAAGTTTAACTTTTAGTGGGTCAAATGGAAACTATCACTAAACACTAAAAAGCCAAAAGGCGTTTTGATTCCCTTTAACACCCTTTAAAACCAACAGGGGAACAAGCAAAAAAAACCTAGGCCTCCAGTAGAGAGGTCAGAATAAAGGCTTCGTACAAAAAAAACCAAAAACCCAAAAAATGTGAGAAAGGGCACCAATTGCTCGGTACTGGACAAAAACCTTGAAGAACAAATCAGCCAAAATGGGCGCCCAACTTCGGTCCAAGACGCGTGAGGCCCACGATGATCAGCAGGTTAAAGATCTCGGAGCCCACCACCACGCCGATGCCCGCGTCCGAGCCCGTGTACAAGGAGATCCTCATCGGCCCGGTGGTGAAAAACCAAACCAACCCGCGGCGGCTCTCGTGTTTGGGCCCGGGTTGCAAGGGTGTTCCGGGGTGCCAGGTCACGAAAAAAAAAAGAAAAGAAGAAAAACAAAACGGAGGGCTCAAATCACCAATCCCAACCAACCTAAAAGAGGAATCGGACCTCCAAAAAAGGCACCCATAACCTATAAGATCAGGCAATCGCTGCTTTCCGCCTCGAGAGCCCAGTTGGGCGAAAAAAAGCTCCTAGCTGGGGAAGACGCACATTCTCTACCGGGATTTTGTTGGGGTGCTCGGATGGGGGGGTGTACAACAAAGATCCTCATCTAGTGGCAACCAAAAGATGACTTCACGGGCTGGAAACGGGAATGTAGGGAACCTGCGTGTTTGTTGGTGTCCGGTTTGGTGATGTCTTGTTCGTGCTTTTTGAGGTGCTGGCTTTGTGTGACCCCCGTGTTGTGTGGGGCGAAAAACGTGGTCCAAGTTGAGTGAGCTGAAAGGTGGCAAACAAACAAGCCAGCTCTGTTTGTTGTTAGGTGTTGTTTCTGCAGATAGCTGAAAGCTATAAGGGGTTCTTACTTCTCAAAGAGGTGGGGTTTGTTTGGTGGGCTACGGGTGCAGGTCAGGGTGGGCTGCGGGTACTGGTCAGCGTGCTGGTGGTGAGTTCGGCGCTGCAGTCAGGGTGCTGGTCAGGGGTTCTGTTTCGGATGCTGGTCGTTTGGTGGTCAAATCTCCAATGCTATCCGGGGTCTGTGCTGAGGTAAGCTTGGGAAATGATCTGAAAGGTTGGACAATGAATTGACGCTATCTTTCAGTGGTTGATCGTTGCTTGTGGAGCCCCAGCAAAAAAGGCAACCAGTGTGCTGCTCACCAACTAGGTGTTCCTACATCTAGAAGCCACTCTTGTTCTGGGCCCTGTTGCAATATCAGAAGCTTCGTTCACCTGGGTGTCTTCTTGTTGCACAGCCCTCGGAACTTTAGAGGGTTTCAGATCATGGGAGGGGGGGGAAAAAAAACGAGTCGTTGGGTGCTGGTATGAGAAGATCCATGCTGATAATTGAGCCGAGGGGGTTGATCAATAGTCCCTTTGGCCCACTGACTGGCAAGGCGTGCGTCCTTCGTGTTTCCATATGAGTCAACAAAGAAAGGGTACCTGGAACCAAGTAGCTACTTTCTTCCAGCCACTTTACCCACTAGTAGCCCATTATGTGGCAAAAGTAGCTGGAAAATAAGGGTGGGGATCTAGGTACCCTCAAAAAAGGGACACCAAATAGCACGTAAAGACAGTTACTGCTTTTGACCGTTGTTTTCTATCCCTAAGGCTGGTGTCGGGCCCTCAAAATGGGTAGTGTTCAAGGGTCTTGTTCTGGTTTCCGGGAGGCTTATAATTGGGGCTCCGAAAATACGATCATTTATATAGCTAAGTATGGAACAGAACCAGAAGATATGAAGATATGTTTTTGGCGGTTCATTCAACTACTTCTATATGGGGGTTGATCAAAAGGTCCTTTACATGGGATGACTAGCAGGGAAACCAGCCCAAAACGCTAGAGAAGCTACCCTCCTATGCTGAGACACACCTAGCGCCCAAAGTGACTCAGGCAGAGTCTTAGGTTGATTCTGCTCCATATGTAGCCCACTCCGTATTACAAGATATGTTCCAAACTGTCGGAGACCCGAAAAGGGTATGTCTCCCGCATTAACCCTCAAAGTGGGCGGTTTATTCCTAGCAATCCCAAACAGTTTCCCGACAATTCCTCGCCCAGACCGCCGGTGGCGGAAGCAAAAAACAAGAAGCCACTTGTTCTCTGTTTTTCCCCCGCGGTTGATTTAAACACGTCAAAGCAACACCCCCTCCAAAAAAACCGAACAAAAAATACATCAAACTGGAGGCCTGCGCAATTCTCAGGGTGAGTCAGACCACCAGTGGCGGTAAAACGGACCTTCATCCCCCCAAAAAAAGCCGCCGCCCGCCGCCCGCCGCCCGGGTGAGTCGCAGGTTGGTGAACATCTCTGGGCCATTGCACCCCAGCGCGCAGATCGTGGCCCCAGCCACGGCCTCGTTGCCCCAGCGCTGCAGCCAGGTATTGCTCGACGCCTACGATTGCAAAACAGCAAAGACAAACAACAAGCAACAAATACACAACAAAACAGGAAAAACAAAACACAACACAACCCGCCAAGAACCATCGAACTATCAAACTATTCAAACACCCGGGAAACAAAAACAAACAACCAGAGCCTAGCCATCACACCATCACAACCATTCCAAACACCTGAGGAACAAACACAACAAACGGCCTCGATTGTAACCAGACACGGCCAAAAGGGGTCCCTGGACCCTCAAACTGCCAGTGAAGAATGGAGAGTGTTCCAAATGGACGGGAAAAATAAACGCAAGAAAAAGACAACGCGCGCACGCAACAACCTGCCGAACACCTGCAAAACACAAACGGCCCAAACGCAAAAAGCTCTTTTCGAAACAGTCGAACCAAAACGTTTTGTGATAGTTGTCTTTTGGCAATACTCCCAAATTGAGGAGCCCTGGTTGAGTAACAGTGAAGTGCCCCATGTTAGACGGAATCTTGCACTTTTGAAAAAGGCACCTGCGAATCCTGCATCATTCATCACACCCAAGGGTCTTTAAAAGGGGCCCTTTACCCAGACCTCCGGTAGCCATCCCCGCAAACTGCACATAAAAACAGGACATCGTTCCAAGTTCCTATTTTAAGGGGTCCTAGACCATACCCGTGAAAATCGGGAGATTGCTCCAAGAAAACGTGGGGACGTCTGGTTGATTGACGAGGGGGTGTACAATCATTCGCTTTGGACAAAACACTTCTCCTATGAATCCTGGGTTAGGACAACAGAAAATCGTCTCCAGCAAAATCCAACAAAAACAAAACATACATCACCGCGGTCTGGGTTTTCCTGCAAGGGCCAAGCAAAACACACAATCCACCCAGTTTAAGGGGGAGAGCAAAAGTGGGCGAGTTTGTTTTAATTGCTTTCTTGTCTTCGCCCCTGCATGGGTTTGCCTCCTGTGGAAGGTGTGAGCGGTTGTGCCGGCCAAATGCGTGAAGGGAGAAACAAAAACACGCGTTGCTTGCTTTTGTGGTTTTCATTTTTTGTGCTGAAGCACGGGCGAGGCCCCAAAACATTGTTTAGTTGATTTCAGTGAATCTCCATTCTGTCATCTCTTGCACACAGAGCTCAACTCTAACAGGTTGAGGATGCCCCTATTGAAATTCAGTCATATGGGTATGACTTTTTCTGAGAGCCTTGCTGGGTTTGAAGGGAAAGTGATGAATGAAATCCGCTTCGCACCAGTTGGGATGGATGAACCCTGGCATAAACCACCCTGCGACTGGTGCACGACTTTGTCCATCCAAGGTATGGGTCTTGGCGGTATGGACGCGTTTGTACCAATTCAGCTTGTAAGGCAGTATTCTTCCCTTACTGTGGACGGACGAAATCCATTTCGTACGCCTACAAACGCTATGGTTTCAACCATGGTTTCAACCTGTGAACGGATTTTGTCCATCCACAGTATCTCCATACCTCCGAAACCCAGCTGCCCGTAGAAAAAAGTAAGCTCAGGCGATATCCCCAACAGCATGCGGTGCTCTTTTTAGTGCTCGCACCACCCCGCAGCCCTCGCAGAACCTTGTGGAACCTTACCTCAGGGCCGCCCCGGACCACCCCGGAGCCTATCTCGGCTGAGACCCCAAAGCTTTCAGCTGTTGGGGGGAAAAAACAATTCGATGAAGCCATGGGATGGCAGAAGGCGTCGGACACACATCAGGTAGCACCTCATCGGTGGATTGGTGGTGTGGGAAGTTGAGCAGCTCCATTTCAAACCAAATGGGGAAGGTCCGCCCGGTCCAAACCACCAAACCAAACCACCAACTAGGAAGCCAAACTTCCAGCAGATTTCCCTGGAAAAAGTAGACTTGGCTCCTACTCCCTATTCTTGGTAGTTGAGTTTTGAAGCAACCGCCAAAACGAACAAAGAAGTGGAAAACGCCCAACGACAAAGGAAAACAGCAAGCGACTTCAGGAAATCCCCTCCGCAGTTCACATTGAAGGGTTGGCCATGCACTGCCTTCATCTTGCCCACGAAGACGTTGATGGCCGGGACGAAGTAACAATCACAGACCTCCGTTGAACGGGGCTGGGTCAATCTCAAAGACCCCCATAGTCTCCAGGGGTACCTTCCATTTCCATTCTGATGCTTTCTAGAAATCGCAGGAAACCCAGGGAAAATGGCGATCGGCATTTGAAAAGAACAATGGTTGAACAGAATTGGAATCAACCCCTAGAATAGTGGCTTCTTTTCTTGTTTCCCTTCACAAACAACCCAAAGGTTGAACTGAAAAAAGGCTCGTTTCTCAAGATTACCCAATCCGTGAAAGTAGATGGCACAATTCCCTTCATGTGGGTGAAGGGGGTGACTAAACCAAAATCCGGAGATTGTGCCATCTAACACCCTAGGCGGTAAGGGAAACCAGCTCCAAAAAGCAAATCGTCGCACAAAACGGGAGGGTCTTTTTTGGGACACCTTTGTGGCGGAGGCATGTCCGACATCTGCAATCTCACCGTAAGATCTGGCTGGTTGGCCGGTGGCGGGACGCTTGTTTGTTGGAGAAGGAGAAGCCGCATCCAACAAAAAATATGGGGGTACCTTTCACTTCCATTCTTTCCAGGGATCCTTCTTTCTAAAAAACCTCAAAAAAAACCAGGGGAAACGGCCGGTTTTTTTTTGAAAAGAACGATGGTTGAAAATAATGGAGAATCAAACCCTAGAACGAGGGAATCGCCCCACTGGAGGGCCTGGGAATATGCAGGGCGGTTTCCCTGTGCCAGCCCTGCACAAATATGCCAACTTCCCATCTCTGGCCCCATTTGTGGCTCTTCCAAAGAGATGCTCTTGGTGAGCTGTTGGATTCTTCTCCAACAACTGGGTCCCTTTCGGACTCCCCGCATACATGATCGTCTTGCGCGCAAGCAATCGGAATCAAAACCGCAGGCCTTTCGCGAGCGTCATGCACGCGGCAGGAGTCAAACCCAGCTGCTCGCGTTTGAATTTTGCAACGCGGGTGTTGCGTTGATGTGAGGCAAACCTAGATGGTTCTTGTTTTTGCAAGGATTGTTGTGCGTAAGTGGCTTGTGTTTGCTTCAAGAACAAGCGATTGTTCGTGCTTATGCAAAACAACTTGCTAACAGGCAGGTGTCTCTGTGCGTGTTCGACAAACGCAGACATGTTTCTCCTGCTGTTTTTTTTTCTTTTTCTTTCGACAAAAGACATGTTCGCGAGGTGCGTGGGTGCGTGCTAGCAAAACGGCAACATGTTCTTAAGTTGCCTTGGTCGTCTGAATAAGCATGTTCTTAAGCTGTGTTTATGGAAAAGGCGTGATAGCACTTGCCCAACGACATTGAGCTTGCGACCTTTGCTTTGGCCCCGCAAGGTAAACCTATTTTGTGTGTTTTGTCCCGCGGGCAAGTGAGGTCCGCTTGACAATTGAGTGTTTCTCAATATAAAAAAAACCCTTTTGGTTGGCATTTCAGGGGAAACGCGGAGGACAACCAGCCAAGCTTGGTTGGCGCAATTCGGGTGGGAAAAAACTGAGGTGGGGCTAAACCTTAACTACCGAGGTGCGGCTCATGGGAACTACTACTAAACACTAAAAGCTAAAAGGCTAAGGGGATGGCTGGGAGCCACCAAGTTCTTGACACAACTCGGTTGTGAAAAACCAGGGGTGGGCTCAAGCTTAACTCCATGCCACGTGGTGCTGCGCGAAGAACATGAAGGCAATGACGATGAACCAGAGGCATCCCACCGTTGTAGAAGGCTCCATGGCGACTCCTGTCCCAGCTGGGATCCTTGAGCCGAAGTCTGCCCGCTTTCAGATGGACCCCAAACGAAGAAACAGTCTCCCTTTTGGATTCCCTTTGAACCAACGTACCCTCAAAAAGCACATCCACACAGACATGGTTGCGGAGCCATGATCCTTTCTGCAATACCACAGCCCATTACCGATTCAGCTGGGAAGTTCATGGTCCTGAATGGGTTCTCCAGATTTGCGAGGTTAGAATAAGGGTACCAACTTGTTTTTTCTGTTGTTTTTTTGTTTAGTTTGTTTTTTCATTTTTCTTTTATCGGTTTTTGTCTATTTTCGTAGGGAACCCTCCCAACCAAAAAAGTTGGTGAGAAAGGGCACCTAGCTGGGGGACCTAGGCATAGTCACTGCTCGTCACCAGGCAATGGCTCCCGAACGAGGCTCTGAATCCGAAGCTGGGCGTTCCGAACCCACTTCCCCCGCGTTTAGGGGAAATCCCGCGCTTGCGGGGGCCGTCCCCAAGTTTCCACAAGTCGGCAGATACAAAACTCAGGTCCGCAGAACGTAAAGTGATAGGGCCATTGTCTAAAAAATCATCCCAAGTTCTGGGACCATTTTTTGTAAACCACACCATCCTTAAAGCCAGTCTTGAAGCCATTGACCAATTCGGCAGCACTCAGAAGCTATTGGTGCTTTGGCCGCCAAAGTCGGTTGAACTTCAGAGGGATGGGTGCAGACCCCAGAAACCATCCCAAAGGAGATGTGGGTTTATGGGATGGATATGTTCGTTTTGGGAAACGGCCCTAAACTCACGGACCCAACATTCCCATTTTTCAACCCTGCCATCACCCAGCTTAACGGGAAAAATACTCCATTGGCCCAACAATTGATGTTTCAACAGGCATTTTTACATTCTACACCTGAACATTGCAACTTGTAAATGGTGGTGTCCATTTCTTTATTTCGGTGCTGAAAAAGCCACATGTTTCAAATGGTGGCAAAATGGAGATTCCTTTTAAGGAGCCCTGTTCCAAAGAGAGCAAAAGGTAACTGAAACAAAGCTCTAGGTCCGCGGAGCGGACTTTTACTTTAAGGGGCCCTGGAGCCCTGGTTTCCTATGAACATAATCATGATTACATTGATCTGCAACACCATGGCCCTGTTCCAAAGAGAGACCTTCCCCTTTTGTCCGCTTGAAGCAAAAACACTGAGAGGAGCCAAGGGCCCGGCACTGAGGCCACCTCTGTCTTCACGGAGGTGAGCAGATCCGCAGTGGCGGCGCTGCTGTACTGCACTAAGACCTCGCGTTTTTTTTTTTTTTTGTTTGTTTTTTTTTGTGTGGTTATATATATTATTTATTTATTTATTTATGTATTTATTTATTTATTTAGTAATAGCCCTAAAGAAAAGCGTTGAACCAAAGAAAAGCGCTTATGTTCTTTTTCTTCTATTTTTGTTGTACACAGTCCTCCATTTGCTTAAGTCGCCTGGAACAAAAAATCCAGTAGTGATAGATTCCCTTTAAAACCTACAGGGGAACATAAAACAAATCTTAACCAAATGGAAGTAGTTCAGACTCAAAACATAAACCAAAACCCGACAATGTGATGTTCGGGTGTTGGGCAAATCACAATCATTTATACACCCTTCAGACAAAGCCAGGTGTAAAACATATGGTCTGCTTCGTCATTTCGAAATATCTGAGTTTCGGTGCAAATTCAGATTTGCAATTTGCGCCATGAGTTGAAAACCTTTGATCATTGGTTAGCAAGTTCATTCTGTATAGATTCATCGAAACAAATGAAACAAACATAACGTGACCCACAAAATTCACCAACCTGAAGTCACGTAAGACACCTTCATGGGTTTGAGGTCAAACAAAAAACACGTTTCGAGGTCGCGACTTATTTTGCCCAAATCTCAAATACCCAAACTTGAAAATGCGGCCTACCACTGAGCCTTACTAAGACTACCACGGCATCCTTGTCTGGAATGCGCCTTTAGGACTCAATTTCAATGTTCAAGCAATACTTAAAACTGCCAAAAGGGGGAATATGGAGAATCCTGAAAAGGCGAGGCTCATTTGTCTTCTAAGGGTTGTTCCCCATTCTCTTCACCCATTAATCTCTTTTGAAGGGATTTCCGAATAGAATAGGGAAGGCCCAGCTTGCCATTCAGAGCCATACTACGGGTTCACCGGGGTTCACCAAATCCTGAACCAGCTGGTAGGTGGTTTGGTCCCAATAGGGCTTCATCTATCCCACTTAGCTTCAGCATTTGGCCCAACGGAAGCCTGGTTCTGGTTCTGAGCCGCTGGCAGTGCTGAGCAGCGCAAAAAGGGTGGCTCTTGACGACATCGCCATCGCACCTGGGACGAAAAAACATGCCCCCTGGCGCGTGTGTGCGTGTAACCCGCCTGAGTGCGATCAATAGGGAGTCTCGAGTTGTTCTGACACAACTGCCTATCCCCCCTTTCGTTTCGCCAAACAAAACTCCCCCGGGTTTTGCCATGGAGCATCCAGAAAGCGCAGAAAGGGTACCTTTCTGAAAAGATTCCCCGCGGAGGCGTTTCAACGGAGGGAACCCAGGTATCCGGTCCTGAGTTGGTCCGCGCGGGAAAAAGGGGGACTATGCGATCCATCAATTGGAGGCCGGTCTTCAGGGGAATTTACAGAAAGTCTGGTCTTCTCGAGTCCGGATTATCGGTCCGCGCGGGACAAGCCGGAGAAAAATGGAGGGAGCCTTTTGAAATGGACCATAGGATACGTTGACGGAGCTTTGGAGGACTCCAGGGTCGATGGAATCCTTGACTGAAAGAGTCCAGACCAAAACAGGATGTTTTGAATAAGAAGCCTAGTAGGACCATCCCATTGCATCACACTTCGCAATCAGGTCGGAGCTCTTCTTGTTACGACTTTCTCCAGCTTTCGCCCCAGCGTACGCCTGCCTACTTGAGGCGCCTAAGTCTACAAACTACCCTCCAGCATGTGATGATATTTTTACAAAGCCACGTACGGCTGATACACTCAACGCCTCTTCTCGTACTGAAGCAAGGCTGCGCTCTGTTGAGCCCACAGCTTCATTCCAGTTCCGCCACAGCACGCCCTTCCGCCTCTATTTTTGTTGACCCTCGTCACTTTAAAAGACAGTTCGGGAGGAGAGCTCGTTGTTCTTGTTGGGTCATCCCTTTAAGGCCAAAAAACCACCGGGTCACCACTAGCCATTTTTCCTTGACATTGCTCCAAGAGGACATGGGAATCTCGGTTTTCATCCCTGAGTGCCCGCTTCCGGCTCCCAGAGCCTTGACCCATTCAGAGATCGTAGCTCGATTCGATTCGGGTCCACTGTGAACCCACACGCAGACTCAGATGCTGGGGGAACGGAGGCAGATGCAAGGGGATGTTCGGGACCTGGCTGCCAAGGAGGAATTGGACAATGTGAGCAAAGAAAGCCTAGACCCAGCCCTTCTTTCAGCTTGAAGTTCGAACTCCTATGGCTTTCAGCTTGGGGAAGACCACAAGCATCATGTGAAAAGAGATCCCAGGCACGTCACACAGGTCCGAACCTGGTGAAGCAGGGAACTTGATTTAAAAAAAACAAAAAAAAAAAACGCGACAAGCCCAGGTCCTCCAGATTTGAGCGGTTCGAATGAGGGTACCAACTGTTTTGTTCTTCGGTTTTGTCTATTCTAGTAGGGGAACCCTCCCGACCAAAAGGAGGTAAAAGGGCACTACTGGACCTAGAAGCAGCATGGATCTGCTGTCTAACAGAATTGCTGGCCTAAGAATTGGTCCCCACAAGGACCTGCTTGAAGTCAGCAGCTTGCCATCACTTGGCTCTGACCAGCCGTGGTCCAATTTGACACTTCCACGGGATTTCCAGGCGTCAACCCACAAAGACCCCTCGAGTCCGTGCCGGACCCTTTGCTTTTTACATACTCTCCTGGATTCCTCAAGAAGAAAATCAAGTATAGTAATCTGTCTGGAGGAATATTTAGCCATCTACTTGATTGCTCTTCAGCAATATATGCCTTTCCTCTTGAGAATATTTAGCCATCCGTCCGGAAAGGCAAAGACGAAAAAAATGTGATCCGTGAAGCTTCCATTGACGAGACGGATCTTTTTTTTGGGGATGCGGGAAAGCAAAAGGCCATGCGCTTCCGGTCTAATCGAATCAGCCAAGCCCTGCTAAAAGTGAATAACTTTTAGTGGTTTAATACGGAAAAACCCATCAGTTGGCAAAAAGTTAAAGTCCTAACATCCCTTGGCACCATGAGGGAGGTTTTTTTTTTGGGGGGGGGGATGTTGGGAGGTTTTTGTTTAATAATTGGGGGGGGGACCCGTATTTATTAATAGGGGGGTGAGACTAACCCACGGGGGTTACTACTGGTTGAACAATGAAGCCTGTTGCCCCAACGAACTCGGGGCTTGGCATGCGTACCGTGGGCTCACGGATCAATGCATGTTCCGAGCGCGCGGCGAGGCAAACCCATCCCGGAGACACGTTGGTGCACCAAATGGCTTGCAAATGAGAACTGCGGGCGGTCGGTCGACTCCACAAATGGATTTGCCCCCAAATTAGAGACACTGGTCCTGCAAACTGCGGCAGCAACGATTTCGATCTCGTTCACCATCAAAACTGACCGAAAGGGGATTCCCAAAACAGACACCCGAAAGACTTGAAGGAACCCAAATTGGTTGGTCAACTTTACAGCGCATGCAGGGTTTGCGAGGAACCCCATAAAGACAACCACGGAACCCAGAAGTCGTTGTCTCTGAAGGGAGAGTTCCGCACGGGGCCACAAATGTATGCCTTCGCCCAATGCCAAATCCTGGAGCAAGCAAATACCGGACAGGAAGACCAGGAAAACAAAAACGCATATGTCAAACAACCAGGTGCATCACTCACAGACCTGAAATTGGTTGCAATCCCCAAGGGACATTGTGGGCGTTAGCCATGGTGAGCTTGTTGAATAACTTCGCACCAGAATCCAGGAATTGAATGCAGTACTATTCTTGTCTTTTTGTTTGGCGGGGGGGGGGGGTGGGAAAACGAAGGTTTTCCAGCAAGATCATCTTAAAAGGACTACCCTGGTTAATCAGTTAATCCATGGCCAATCTTCGGTTCGCGTCTCCCATGTGGAAAGTTGCAACGATGCAGGACTCACATTTCTGTTCAACCCGGCGAATTGGGGTTTCACCTTGCAAAGAAATAATGGCACATCAAACCAGGGCAGTGTTTTACCAGTCCCTGGCTGGTCAAAGGCTTGAAAAGGATTCTCACTAAGTTTGATCTCCAACAGGGTTCCCAATATTTCCTCTAAAACCAATAACCACCAACGAAACGCTCAAAAGTTTCATGGGCCAAAAAGGGTTGATGTTTCAAACCCCAAAAAGTCGGATCATCACTCGGGACCCTCCAACGTCTGAGGTTCGGCCGAAGGTCGAGTTCGGTGATCCGTGGGCCTTCTGGCTTGTGATCTTCGGGAGTCTCGGACGTCAGCGTCCCATGTTTGGTGGTTTGGAGCGAGCCGAAGCGGTGGTTCGGTGAAATGGACGTCTTCCGTTTCTCTACGAATCTACGGACCCGTTCAAATCCCCAGCCACCAGAAAAACACCTTGTTGACCCTCTGCAAAATCCAGGGACCCGGTCAAATGACAAACCACCAATCCAAACCGCCAACTAAGGGTTAATTTCCTGAAGAAGTGGGTTGTAACCTGCGTTGCGCGTAAGGGCCAAGCGCCCAAGTGGCAAAAGAAGGGAGCCCGGGCCAAGCTGCAAAAAGGGGAGGTATGCAAAGCCGGAGTCCACGAGTGCAGAGGTCACTTTTTGGCGATGGATAAAGCTAGCTTCAGTCGACAGATCGACGTCCGCGCGTGGGACCGAGCCTCTGCCAAACATAGCAAGCAGAACACTTTGACTCTTCCCAAAACTTCATGCCAGCATTTCGTGGCAAGCGCGGCTAAAGCAGTGCAGACATTGCATTTTAATGTTGGACGCGAAGGTTCTCCAAACACCCAGAAACAGCAGAGTTTCCGAATCTACCTTTAGCTTGCCTTCAAACCAACTAATTTGCAGACATATCCATCCTGTTTGGTGTCTTGTAAAAACAAGAGAATATGGGCTATTCAGCACCCAGCAAGAAGGTCATGTACGTTCCTCCATGCCTTCAAAGACCATGTCGGAGACGTTTTACTTATTCCAATTAATGGCGTCTCCTTTTGCCGAATCGGTTGGGACAGGTTCATGAAGGTAGGCGCAAGGGGTTCCAAGGTTGTGTAAGGCGTAGATTTGAAGGCTTCCAAGGTACACAGGGGGTGATGTGACCTGCCAAGCCCGAAGTTCCGTTGGTGCATCTTATGAGACGCCTGGTTTTACATGGTGATCCTCTCCTCTTGTTGTTGAGTAAGGGGTTGGCCTACTCGATACAGAAGTCATTGGGCCATCGGAGATGCCCATCCAAACGATCGATCTCAGTGAGGTGTGGATCCTGGAGCTATGTGTCGTAAAAGCCCAACTCTAAACCACGAATCCAAGACATTTCCCTACATGGGTCTGAATTTTATTTAGGGACCCTTTGGCGGACATCAGACTTCGGCAGAGATCCATGTCCACCAACTTTTGAGGTTCCCTATTAAAATTCATGGACACTTGTCCCTTTTCACCATGCCGCCAAAGGGAGCTCTTGCAACTTGGGCCCCTGTCTGAGTCTAAACCGTTCCAAAGGAGGAGGTACAGGGAGCCCTGCAAAAGTTTATGGTTCGCTTACGCATCGCCATTCATGACCTTGGGCTTTGATGACCATTGCCTAGTGCTAACTTCCTGAGTGTGACCCATGTCATCCCTTGACGTACATTCGTGAATCTCCTCAAATTGCTGGACCTCTTGTTGGAAATCTGAATGGACGCCCAAAGAACACCATACCATCCGTGGCATCTATGTTCTGGGCTACCCTCAGATCCCCTGCTAAAAGATTTTAACTTTTAGTGGGTTACATGGAAATCCCCACTGAACCCTATTTGTTTAAAAGGCTGATGAATCAGCCGCACGGCTAGCCACCAAGTGTTGAGACACCTCCCAGAGAAGAAAAAAAAACTGCCTCTCCGCACTGGTCACCTGCAAGTCTGCTTTCTCTCGAAACGGGGCCCGTATTCCGCGACCCGGAAGCCGAAGCCGAAGATGAAACCAAGCCCCGGCTTTGTCGGAAGAGCTTCTGGGAATTTGGTTTTTGGTCTTTTTGTACTCCATCCTGACTATTGCAATCTGTCACAAAAAAAAATGTGACCTCACCAGACATGGCAAACCATGGGAGCTTGGCAACATGGACAAAAGAAGCTCAGCCAAATACGAAATGATATCCTGGCGTTCGGTTCGGCCATTCATGCCTGGTACCAACATGAACCCTGGTAGGTCAGGTTAGGACATCAACGCCGGTACCAACATAAACCCCACGGCCCACGCCTGTGATATAGCCTTGTGATTTTCGAGAGGATTCACACAAAATTACACTAAAGCGAAGTTTCACAGCCGTGTATCCTGACCTGAGTGGACCGGCCAAACAGTTTAAACTCATTGGGTCTTGGCAACAGAGAGAGGAAACCGGTAAGTTAGGTTTGCCAACAGGTAAGTCTAGTCTTGAAGCGCATGGCACCTGCAACTACACTACCGGATGATCCTTCTCAGTAGAAAATACCCCAGTCTTCCTGGGCGTTTGCGGCCGTTTTTCTGAGAAGGATCCCTGAGAATGGGAAGGATACGATAAGAACAACTAGAAAGTTCCCACATTTACCTGAGAGAAACTGCCAAAGGATCCTTCAGAGTGAGCTGCTTGTATCCCCGACTGTTCGACTGGTCAATAAATTGGGTGGCACTTCCACGATTGGCCAACACAAGACCAAACTTCGAGATTTGTTGCCACTACCCAGACCTCCAAAGTTGATTGACACCTCACTTCCTGAGTTGATGGCCCAACAAAAGTCTGAACTTCTTGTGTACCACTAAAATGGTCTTCGCAAAAAGGTCTTCCAAAAGTCCATGAACTCAGGGCTTTGAGACCATCTGCCCGGTGATCCGCTTAGTGCTGCGTTCAGGTGAAATGGGTCCGATACATGAGAAAGCTCCTTTGGAAGCAAGCTGCTGGCTCAGGTGGCTCAGTTCAGCCGCTTCCAAAAATCCGAAGGTTTTCGGTGCCCATGGCCTTTGCCTCTGAACACCTCCGAAATTCGGCGAGCTCCGTAAGGGACAGGGGAAAGACAGTTGGTCTCTGGGACACGGGGGGCCAACATGGGCCAACTTACATACCCCAAATGGTACCAAAATGTGCAGCCCTTCTCCCACAAAATCCTCTTGGGGTCAGACATCATATATCTACTCTGCGGCTCAATTGGGCATCAAGCTTTAGATGCTCAATTCTCGCCATCATTCCATCGGCAGCCATGACAATGACCTCAGAGCTTTTGATGTTTTAAACGTTGCCATGGCCCCGCTGGACCGCCTGCAGCTACTGAACTAGGTCCTCCAGTGAAGAGGTTACAATAAGTTGGTACCAACTTTGTTCGGTTTTGTCTATTTTAGTGGGGGAACCCTCCCAACCAAAAAAGGGGTGAGAAAGGGCGACCTACTGAAAAACTGATATCAACTAGCTGTGTGGTGCACTGGTGCACTGCATGGATCGGTTGAGGTTTTGCTCTTCGTGGCAAGCGGGACGCAAACAAAGCACTGAGTGTCTGCTGAACTGCAAACCATGGAGTCTCGTTTGCATCCAGACGGGTCCCTGCAGAGCGATGCCCTTCTTTTCCCCATCATAACTGCAGGTCTGGGCACCATGGCCTCTTCCCAGTCTGCTAAGAATTGGTTGACCTTACGGACTCGCCGACGTCTACAGCTAGGCCTAGGCATGCTCCCAGACCCATAGAGCAAGACACAAAAACTCGACACTCCTTTTGGTGACATGTTGGGTTAGAACATACTCTTCTAGGTCCTCCAGGAGAGAGGTTAGAATGAGGGTACCTTTTTTTTCTGTAGTCTATTTTAGTAGGGGAACCCTCACAACCAAAAAAGGGGTGAGAAAGGGCACTACTGGGGGACCTAGTCTTTAGGATCTTAGGCCCACGTAGGCTTAGAACATGTTAAACCTCAGCCTTCCGATTAGCACAAGTGTTAAGCAAGGATAACCTGCCTACACTGCAAAGCTCATGCCAAAACACATCGGTGGATGCCCTAGATAGAAAATCCAAGCGGTGAACATGGATCGAGCTGGGTATGACCATTGCCTTGTGGTTCTGTGTGAGTGGATTTGAAATAGATTCTCCCACAAGTTGCTCACAAAAGGACCAACCAGTCCCAGCAAAGGGCTCTAGTTTTTCCTGTAAAACACCTTTGTTTTGCGCTGACAAGCAAAATGTTGCTCACACATACCCATGCTTCCAAGCCTAGTCCCGGAACAGCAAGAGCTTTCTGAAAACCTGCGCTCGCCCTGGTTCCTGCTTCTCCGCCCCCCCCCCGCAAAAAAAAAGAAGAAAGAAAAAGAAAAGAAAAGTGATGCAAATCAAATACGGAAATCAAGTGTTGCAATCACAATGAAAAGCTTTGACTGGGTTGTTGGACGGTAACCCATGAACAAGGCAATGCACACAAGCCAAAGGTCTGGGACGAGTAATGCTTCGCCGAGCACGCAGGGCGCTCGCTTGCCCGGGCATTGCCCGAGCCATGGTTCAGTCATAGATTCACTGATTTTGCTCCTCTCGGTCCATGTGCATGTATAATGTATGTCTTTTTAGGGGACCCCCAAAATGGTGGTTGTCCTTTTGGGATTCTTTCAACCCCACCCCCCCAAAAAAAACACACACTTAAACTCCAGATGGAGAGTGCTAATCTTTCGAGTACAACTGATGAGTCTCGAGTACAACTGATGAGTCTCGAGTACGATGAGTTTCTGCTTGATTTCCGCGGGCAAAGAGGGGACCTTGTTGGGAAGCAGGTACGTAGCTGAGCGTCCTCAGCTACTTCCCTTCCAGTGACCTAGCTTCGTTGGATCAGGTCAGTCACTGGAAGCCTGATCCCCCTGCTGCAACAGAAAACGGTTGTGGTGGCAGGGTTTTCTGCCACTCCGCACACACACGCCCCTCTACGAGGGGCGAGGTTTCTCTTTTCTCCTGCAGGAAGATCACATGCTCAAACTCAAATCTCTATCGTTGACCAAAATCTCCTCCACGGCGAGGGGAGCGAGACACCGCCCTGAACCGCTCAGAAGACGGGAACGAAAGATCACCACGTTGAGCATTGCGAGTGTCGCCATAGAGGACTGAAGCGATTTGCGAAGCAGCCGGGCGATCACCTTGAGAAAACGGAGTGGCATAGGTGAATGTCTCCTCAACTGGAACGGCATCGGAGTTTCGAACTCGACCAAGCGTCTGATCATGTGGATCGCGAGTCGTGAATGACTCAATCCGAGACAAGATGCGCTGGAACCCTTGGTGTTGCCAGTCACGGATGTCCCATGCTTGGACTGGCGCGTCGGGCTCAGTCACCCGTCTCCATTCACGAAACGAATTTTCAGGGACATCTGGCAAGGCGTCCCCGCGGTGCCATTGTTGAGGATGTCCTGGAGTGTATATCCGCACCCACTCCTGATCATGCCAGACTGAATATTCAAGCCATGGGTGCTGCTTCGAATCATCGATGTCCATGTCGAGGCAAGAGGCAAGAATTGTCGCGGGCTCCGATCCGGCTAGTAGATAAACAAGCACAATGCACAACCATGTTCAACCAGCAACCAACAACCAAGCAAAATCATGCAAGTGCAAAGATCACCCTTATTTCGTACGCTGCGCTGCTCATGCGAGTCTAGTCTTCAGTGAGCTCGAAGACGGGACTCATCTTGTCTCGGCCACTGTCGGAAGGATTAACGGGCCGGTAGGGGTCGGAGACCCCAATCGTCTCCAATGATGTGCTTCCACGCGATGCACGTACTGGTTGATGAGGATGGGAAGCTAGACGTGCGCGAGCTGTCAGTTGTTGCGAAATCCCTTCCTGGAGACGAGTCAGTTCTTCAGTAGAGAAATCAGCTGCATCCGAGGACCTGAGAATCGCGTCTAACAGCTCTGGCGACATAGTCAATGCCGCAGACTGCGTGGCCACGCTGTGATGATCGGGGGGATACCCTGAGTCAAATTCATGACCAGCGTGAGGGGCAGCGATTCGTCGGTAGCCCTCTGTGGCCCAGTCTCGTTTGTACCACATAGTGACTTGGGCCTGCTCTCCGACTGAGGCCTGGTTGGGTGCATAGAACTCCCTCCACTCTCTAAAAGTGTGCGGAGGAGGTGGATCATCATGTTCTTCTTGCGGCGTCCACGGTCCCGGATGAAAGATCTTGACCCACTGGGCATCTGGTTGTTGAGGGTCCGGGCACCATTCCAGCCACGCCATGACAACACAACCACGGAAAGACAAGTTGATAGGTGTACGGCTGCAGACAACAACAAGTGCAAGCAAGGCAACAATCATAATGCAAAAGACCACTTTTGTAACACTGTGCGGCGCCAGCATCATAGTCTGACTCTCCAGGGAGGCGAGGGCGGGCATCAGCTCTCAAGCGAATTAGATGATGCCGAGGAGGAAGTCATTCCAGCATACATGAGGTCCGGTGCGCCCGAAGCAAAAACTGGCCTCGCTATGCTAGGATGTGGACGACCCAGGCGTTGATACCCCCTGGTGACCCAGTCCCTGTAATACCAAGTGTAGAAGGTGGCGTAAGATACCGGTTGCAGAACCGTGCCTGTGGTTGTGCCGCCCGTGCTTTCCCGGGGCCAGTACACTTCGAAGTGGTGGACCTTGCGCCATTCCCGATAGGTGGTCGAGTCATCCGGGGCCGGTCCCAGGGTGTCTGGGGCTACTGGATGCCACTGACCCGGAACATAGATTCGAATCCATTCCACACTCGTTCCTGCTCGACTATGAACGATGTCATAGTCAAAATAACGAGGTAGGACCCATCGTGCTGCACCCTGCACTGTACTATTGAACATTTCAACCCAACAAGCTGCTCAAAGGTAGCACGGAAAGCGGCGGACACCCTGAAACGACATGCACAGCACCAAGCAAGACAACCCAATGTGAGCACACATACAAAGCAAGCACAACCGCATCTTTGTCCAACATGCTGCTCAAGAATCAATCCGACTCATTCCAAGGATCATGGAATGGCGGCGGTGACGGTTCCCGCCACGCCCCATCCGGTACCGACGAGCCCACCGAGGACTCGACGTCCGCATTGACGAGCATCGCGAATCCCATGGATTGTACAGGAGGTCCAAGGCGTTGATAACCTCGTGTTTGCCAGTCCCGGTACTCCCACACGTGGTAGGACACATAGGCACTGGGCGTGGCTATAGGATCCATTGTAGTTCCACCGGTGCTGTCTTCAGACCAGTACACTTGGAAGTGATATGATCTGCGCCACTCCCGATACGTGGAAGCGTACAGTGGGTCAGGAACAGGCGCCTCATCGGGAACGGGCCTCCAAATGCCCGGAGAGTAAATTCGAATCCATTCCACTCCTCTATCGATCTGGTACTCGAAATACTGGGGGTTCATAGCAGCAATACGTGCTTGCACGACTGTTGAACCAATCGAAAGTCTGCGGCAAGGACACACATGCATTGCCAACCGCACATACACACTGAAGAGTGAGGCAACTTTTCAAACACAAGATGAAACGCAGCAACGAGGTCGGAAATGTCAGACTCCTAGCTTTCACTGTCGTTGATGTCGCGCACACCTGCAATGATAGTGACCTGGCCGTCTACGAGCACAAGGGGAAAGACATTTCCGTCCATGGCGCAGGATGGCGTGACAGTAATGCTTGCACGCCGCCGAGGGGGATTGCGATGGACGGCCTGCACGTTTGGAATAAAACACTGTAAAGGGCCGTCGAGATCGCCGCGGCGCCGAAGCTGATGCTGTCCGAGATCGTTTGGACGAGGGCCCTGGACTGCGTGGTTCTTCATCACGGGAGGGGTCACTGCTGTGGATCGAGCGGCGTGTGCGCTGCGATTTCGAAGAGGTAGAGCAGGATTGTCCACGAGGGTCTGAGATCGTGGGGCTGCGTACCGAGGGCATAAACTGTGGGTGAAGAATCACCGGTGGTGGTGGTGGTGGTGGAGGAGGAGGTGGAAGAAGCAATGGCAAACTTGGCGGGGGCGGAGGTGACGTAGTTAACCGTATGGGTCTGTCGAGTAGAGCCCCGGGTCCATGAAATTGTAACCACGTCGGCTGCGCTCCATGGGTCCAGGTAATGTACGTCTGTACAACTTGTTCCGACATGATTTGAGCAACTCAGGCAAGGCATCACTGCATGTCAACGACATTGCACAACACGACAAGCAAGATTGATTCACATGCGAGCAAGCAAATATCATGTGATCAACAACGCGAATCGGACACACCGCCGCTGCGTATCATTTGGTCCATCAATGGTCGTTGCTGCATTTGTCGGGCATGTTGCTAGCCGCGAGCTTCAAGTTGTTGATAGACCTTCCATGCCTGCTTGACTTCCTCAATCGGCTTCTGAAGAAACCGCGCAATGGTCTTATAGGTGGGCCTGGAATCTTTATCCTTCTTCCGTCTCACCATTTCATCCAGCTCACCCTGTGTCCATGCCGTGAAAGGTTCACGGTACGCATTGCGAAGTGCAATGGTAAATTCTTGTAGAAGTTCACGAGGACCATGGACCACCGTCGGCGACGGCCGGAACGACGAGGCACCTGGATGCGGACGTATCGAACCATCAGAATCCGAATCAGGTGTCGTAGGCGTCGTTTGTCCTGGCTCTCGTCCACCGTGTATCGCGATAGGAGCAAGGGGACGAGGAGGTGGTAGTCGATCCAACATCGATTCGGGCCGAGCTCCCGGATTGTGGTCACTAGCATCACGATGTGCCGCTCGAGGCGGGGACAAAGCCGGTATGTACCAGGTAGATGACGTGTCCAGCGGTCGACCCCGAATGCGTGCGGGTGATCGAGATCTGTCAGATGAGGGGTGCTCCGTGATGATGCGGGGCCGCAACCCATGTCTGGAGTTTCTTGGTGCTCTTGGGGTGACCACCGTGTCAGTCGGACGACCACGCTCCGTCATCAAGGCAAAGTTCAGGGTGTCCAAAGCTGTCGCCACTTGGGATGCAAGGACATTGAGCACAGCCACCAGGTTATTCACAAACTCAGCTGACAACTGCATGGCAACCGATCAAACCACAAGGTCAACTCAAGCAAAGCTGCAAAGCGATAATGCTGCGGCATGACAGAGATAAGGTAAATGCAAGCATGAATGTAGCAAACTCTGACGTACTTTTGTCGCTGTTGCTCCGTCATCGTTCATAGGGCAGACCAGACGGTCTGCAAGCTGGCATGGCTTTAACTGCCGGTGGATACTTAGGAGTATAAGCATGACGGCGGCCCACTGGAACTGCATCGACAGGACGTTCTGGGAGCCGTCGATGATGGCTGCGGGATCGTCTTCGGTGCGGCTCACGATGCCTAGATCTTCGCCGTCGTCTGTGTTCCCAGGAAGTGCTGACACTCACCGTGCGTGTGTGAGCAGGGTGCTCCGCACGGCTATCCGTGGTGGCCACGAGAGTGACCGGCGTTGCCATGTGGTCAGGTCTGACCGATGTTGCTGGCAAGTGCGGAGGCGCCGTGGACGGCGGCGGCAACGGCGGGGGATGAACTTCCGGAATCGGTGGTGG